TAAACCTAACTTAATGGTTTTTCTGCGTCCAAAAAAAGCTCATGTATGTGCAACTAACCAGAAGAATGACTGAATGAACAATCCCAGGAAGAAAAAAAAAAAAAATCACTAGATGCTGCATGAACATCATAAAAACATCCCAAGGAAGACATTTTTCCAGAAGGCCAATTCTAATTCTCAGTGCATGTGAAAAATAAAGGGACACATACATAGCTAAGTTTAGAAATCTTCAGTATATTAAATCTATTATTCTCCATAGTAAGTTTGCTCCAGGAGTTAAATCTGTCAGGCAATGCCAATGACAGCAGTTAAGGCCTATGGTTTAACAATGGGTGGGTGAAGTCCAAAAAAAAAAAACAAAAACAAAAAACAAACAAACAAAAAAAAACAAATAAAGCAGTTAGTAGCTATTGACTCTACTCTTCCCCACACTCCACTTTTTTTTTTTTTTTTAAAGCTTCTTATATGACTTCACATCCTTGCTGTCTTTCCATTCCTCCATTTAATAAGCACATTAAGATTAGTTCAGGGAGGTGTAGTACTTTTAGTGTCAGGTCAGTTATATCCTCCATTTCTTCGTTTCATCACATCAATAACAGGTGAAAAAAATGACACAATTATCATTTCAAAACTATGTTCAGATACTTCCAGAAACCCAGATACTTCCAGACTTCTAGGCCATGACTTTGGATGAGGGAGAGCCAATTCACTCAAACACCACTTCACTTTGCCACTGGATTTAAATTCTGACTCATTTCCTCTTAGCAAAAATGAGGAGCTCCAAATTCTAAGCTCAAAAGCAGGGATCAAGGGACAATTCAAGTGAAGACCACGGTCTGGGTCCCTGCCCTTTTTCATTCACGGGGAAAAAGCAACTACTGAACATGGATGCTGCTGTCACAAGGAAAAGGTGACCTCACGTAGGACAGATTAGAAAAGTGGTTTTAGCAGTTCTCAATATACATTTTTAATTGCAATTTTGTTATACTAGTGTCTTTCAAAAAGTGTCAGTCAGGTAGCAAAGCTGAGCCGTGGCTGTACTTTCTATAACGCCTCTTCACAGTGAATTGCTGTCGTTTCCCACGTCTCCTCATCTACCCAGGGAGGCTTCTGTGAGGTCTGATCTACGGGCGCTTTCTCACTCCGGGCTGTTAACACCGCATCTCCCTCCCCTCCTGCTAACCGAGGGAGAGGGCTACAAGAGCCATCAGCTCCGTGGAGTTTGTCCGCCAAAGCCTCGGCTGCAGTTTGAGAGTCCTGCCCAAGCTCCGTTTCGGCTGCCGCTTCCGCCTTTAAGGGGAGTCCAAACACGTCGTTGCGGACGATGTACCGAACGCACTGCAGAATCACGTTCCTCTCGTGCCGGATGTCCTGGGCCAGCAACTGGGAAGAAAGAGGAAAAAGTGATGCACGTTCCCCCTGCTGATCAGCACCCAGCAAGGTGCACTGCAATTTTAAACACCTTTAAGCACACACAGCGGTCTCTTGAGGCCTGGGAACAGAGATGTAGAGAGTGCACGTGAAAGCCACATACTGCCACACTCAGTGACCTGCAGTGACTTCACGGTTGCTTTGGTAAAATCAACGTGCTTGTTTCAGAGGAGCATCACGCAGCCTGTTGGGCTGTAACCTGACTGCCCAGCAAGAGGGGTCTAAAAACTCACGGTCCCTTCTCTTGAATCAGTTCCTGTGCTGATCAGAACCCTTGCTGTGTCAGTTTAACTGGTTAATTAGTGGAAAAGGAACCTGGTGGGGGGAACTAATGTTTTGCGTGGGGGGTTGAAAGCTAAACCGAGTCAGCAGAAGGCTCAGCATATCACAGGGGTGGGATCAGGCATCCCTGATCACGAGGCAGGGGCAGAGCTGCCCTTTGGGCAGCAGTGAGTGGCTCAAGCAGGGCAGTTTCATGGTCTAATGTCACCTCTGCAACAGTGCTCTGCAGATACAGCCTGCAGAGCCTCGAAAGGCCACAGTCGAGTACAGTGCTCACAGGTGGGCATCCCACTGAACCAAAAACAACCCCAGTATATTCAACATACAAACATTTAAGGACCTCTCTTTGAGCCCTATCAATGAGCTAAGGTCAAGAAGCACAAGCTGCCAAATCTGAGGGTTTCTGTTTGGACTAAAGCACCAACCTCCGTCTGCTCAGGTGAACAAAGCTGGTGAACATATCTAAATATCAGGAATTTCCTCCCCAATTATTCCCCAGTGTAGACTCAGAGCACCATGTTCTCACATCATGTGTATGAATTCAGAGTCAGGAGCAGGGCATCATGACGATAGCTCCGTTAGCACCATTCAGACTTTTTGGGTTGCTGTTAACATTTGATTAGAGAACTGAGTAAACAGTACTCCCAGAACTTGGTTTTGAATATAATAACTATTTTGGGACATAATCTACCAAACCTAATCTTCTAATAGCTTACTTAGAATGCTGGAGACCCCCTCATTTCCTTTAGCATCACTACACCTTGATTTTAGTAGTATAAAAAACAGACAAGAAAGACAGCAGCTGAAGGACATTTTCTCATTGTGAGTTATCAGCAGAACTAATACTCTGAACAAGCTACAGGCTTACAGCAAGTAGCTAAACCTATGACTAACACACATCTCTTGCAAATAATCAAGTAAACATTTTGAGTAAGTCTGGCCTGTAATGGACCAGAGAAGCCTTTTTTTCTTTTTGCTCTTGGTATAAATTTCAACCGTGGGTCTAACCAGACACTGAAAAGGGTACTTATTTCTACTTAGGCCAGTTACTAAGCTGTATTAGTGACAGCTGGTCTATAAAATGCAGATGTTTCACTTTCAATATTTACCTGCACTGGCAGCTAAAATGGCATTTTTCATTTCACTTTCTTTTTTCTCTCCTCTCCTAAAGCAACCCTATTTCTTCACATTTTGGAGAAGCTCTCAGCAGGATCCACTGTGTGTAAAGCTTCAACCCTGCTTCCTGAATACTTTCAACGCTGCTTGTGGCAGTAGACACCTGCCTGTGAATGTGGGGCACTCTTTTGCAATCCACCATGCCAGCACATGTCCTTTAACAACCGTTTTGAACCTTGAAAGGCCAAAAAAGACAAAAAATGCAATTTTAAAAACAGACTCTACTGCCAAGCTACAATCCAGGTTTTCTGTTCTGTCAGCACCTATGCCACCTCCCTCAGCATGTAAGACTTTTTCCTGAGTCCTCCCAGCTTTGATCACCAACAGCTTTGAAGAGCAAGAGATAGAGATGACTGGGAGCTGCACAAAGGCCAAGCGCTTCCTTTCTGGTCACAGGCAGCTTTAATTCTTGGCAGGAAAGATAGCATGTGCTAAAAAACTATCAAGGGATTTCTCCCACATCTGCAACTGAGGATGTGCCTCATCGGGAGCATTTGAGTGTCTGGGCTGTTTAGGAGCGCAGATACCAGGGCAACTCTGCTGTCCCCCACACCATGTGCAGCAGCAGTTTGGCTAGTTACAAAAGTGCAAGGGCAGCCTACCCCATCTGACCTCCTACCTCATGCTGCTTTGGGGTATTAAGTACAATAAAATCTTAACCAAATCTTAGTCTGGGTCATAGAAAGCCACCAAGCTCCCAGATTGGGTGCTGCAGACTGTTACTCGGAACTGAATCACATCATCTTGGACTCAGTCACCCCATAAATCCCTTGTTACCCTTCTGAGACACTCAAAGTCAGCCGTTACCTGAATACACACCAAAGTATTTCTGTTTGTCTACTAAACAACTATATTTTTACTGAGCAAAACACTCGCTTTATTTGTAGACAGGGCTTTTGTTAACATATCACTATGACTTCCTGACAAGGCAACACTCCCTAAAACTACTACTTCTGTAGAGCAGGGATTGTTTTAGCACTAAAACAATTACCATTTCCAGCAGAGTTGGACGCCGCTTCGGGAAGAGGGATAACAGTTTCTTTCCCCATTTGTCAGGGCCTCTGGGGGGGCCTGCAGTTGAATTGGAGCTTCTTAACGTTGCATTTGTGGATTCCACACGCTCCTGGTTCACGTTTGGATTCTGAGGAACACTTGTAGCTTGAGAGGCATTGCTGAGCACAGCCTGGTTTTCTTCAGTTTTTGCTACAATCTTGACAGGGATTTCTTAAAAAAAAAAAAAAAAAAAAAAAATCAGCTCTCAAACTTTTAAAACCTCCCTAACATATTTACACCCCATGCACTGGCAGGTCATTGGTACTATTCTTACCTATCTGCCCTGATGTAAAGACAGGCAAGGCTTTTTGGAGAAAGGGAAGATTTTTGTTGTTGTTGTTCTAAATACAAAGAATTTTCTCTGAATATTCACAGAAAGGAAACCCAGATGCTTAAATTCAGCTAAATGGGGATGGGGGAGCCTCAAGAGATGAACAGACTTAAGTCTCTGCTAGTGATCACTTTGAAATGCCTTGCCTCCTGTTCACAGTATCTTGCTGCACATTTGACTGATAAGAAAAGAATCGTCCCAAGTTCAATTCTCTTTCCTCACAGACCCTCTCTAACTTTTAAGCCATCTAGGGAGATAAGGCAGAGCAACTACCAGCAAAGCAAGACACAGCAGAGTTTCCTACCTTACACTGATACTGCAAACATTCCCCTAAAGCAAAATCTGAGGCAAGCAGAGACCCTACAGAAATGGGATGCAGGAGAGAAACTCTCCTCTTCCCACCACAGCGTACACTCGGAGAAGCATCCAATCCAAGGGCTATAAAGTTCAAGTTTTACTGCACCATCCAGCAGCCTTCTATGGAAAAAGCCCTTGAAGACATAGAAATTAGTTCACAGGGTGAGTGTAAGAGCATTTTCCTGGCACTCCTCAAATATGATCTGAAGTGAGAGTGAAGAGAGGCTCCTTTTTTTTCCAACTGCCTGACTCCAAGAAGCTCGGGAAGTTTAACGATACCCACCCTAAGCAAATAAATTTTATCTCCACCCTTCAACTCAGGTCACAGTGGTGGGAAAAGGCAAACAAAGCGGTGGGGGGAAGAAACCCACCCAATCTTCCAGGAAACTTTGTTCTGGATTTCCTAAACTATGCTGTAGGGCTAGAAAAAAAGACCAGGAATTAGATGCCACACAGTAAGTGGACAAGGCCACTTCAGTGGAGTACACTGGCTGACTGCACAAGTGGTACAAGTGTGGGTGTTTCTTCAACATCGGGAGTTGTAGTTGTACATGGAAATAATGTCTCACTCAGAAACCCAGTTTAATGCTCAAAACTGGAGGTCAGACTTGGGGAAACAGAGCAGGAGTAAAATAATGACATATCCTTCTACTCATCCCAGCCTCTTTTTGACTCAGAGCAGTTAGCCTGCATTGCCACTGCAAGTAAAGTGGAGAGTATTTTTGAGATACAGCCCCTGAACTGGCACTAAACTAACATCTTAAATATAAGCTCAGCTCATATGCTGTATTTTCTTCTCTAGCACCTATGATTTCTCTACAATTTAAAAAAAAAAAAAAAAAAAAAAAGAGTTTTGGCAGGTTCTAAAAGAAGCTGAGGTAACCCAGAGATTGCAGGAATTAGGGGCACAGCCATCAAGCCTGCCACTGGGCCACTGCAGTCATAAACGCTGCATTTGTAAATATATAGGGCCTGGGCAAAGGAATGGGAAACGGCATAAAACTGATTGCGAAGTCTTCCAGCTCCTTCTCAATGAGAGGGGAAGATTGTTCCTAAACCAAATTTTATCCGTGTTTGCAGTTCACAGATTTTGGGTGAAGGGAGAGAGAAGGGGGGAGGAGAAAAGAGCAGTTTCCCCGAGCTCCTTCGCACCTTCGGGCTCGCTCTCCGACGCGCTGCCGTAGTTGGCCGACAAGGAAGTCAGGGCCGAGGTGACCTGCTTGGGAACAACAGTTGTTCCCAGCTTCCCATCTTCAGCAGCTTCCTCCTCCTTGTCGGACTCTGCACGGAAAGAAAAGGCAAGAGGGATTTTTCCAAGAGCTCACGTTCGTAACTTTGCTACTAAACCTCCATTTGAGCCATACACAAGACCGGTGTTAGGCACCATTGCTCGGTATCTCAGACAAATGACACCTTCCACCCTCCAAACAGATTCCAAGTTGTTCGAGCACCAGTTTACAATCCTGCGGGTGAAGCTCCAGGAGGGAACAAAACCCAGGGCTTTTTGGTTCTGTCTTTGCACAGAGCACTTAATTATAGGTTTTATCATCAGCTGCGGGTAAAGAAAGAGCAAGGATTTCATAATATGTTTTGAAGTCTTGTTGGATTTAGTTCAGTGGGGGTGGCTGCAAAAGCCAATAATGTAAAAGGAGAACTTCCTCATTTACAGAGAGGATTTTAAAAGGCAAAAGAGGGTTTTCGATGGTAAAAACGCTTCTAAAGGGCACCCAGCCCCAGAATTGGGCAATCAGTTTTCAGTGGGTGGCTGCAAAAGCCAATAATGTAAAAAGGAGAACTTCCTCATTTACAGGGAGGATTTTAAAAGGCAAAAGAAGGTTTTCGATGGTAAAAACCCTTCTAAAGGGCACCCAGCCCCAGAACTGGGCAATCAGTTTTCCGTAGTACTTCAGACAGTTAAATACCTAAATCCCTGCAGAGCATTATGGATATGCCCAAGTAAATGAGATCTTATAGTCTAAAATTGTCCTTGAGAAAGAACACTGTGAAGACAAGACAGAGGCAAATGGACCAAAACCACCTAATTTGAGGGCATCAGGAAAACAGAAAGGACCTACCAGAAAAACCTTCCCAAAAAATAAGCTTGTAACTTTATGAGGGTTTGAATTCTCTGGAAAGGGCATTTTGATCTTGCACAAGGATCTTTCTCCGGAAACCTGCCCCCATTAACACAAGCAGTATTTATTGAAAAGCATTGTCTAATCAGTCGATTATTAGTATATGCATTTTATTTTACAAATATGTGTGTGTGTATATATATATATATATATAAATATTAAAAATCCTTTACTAGAAGCATTCTCTGAAAACAGCCTATAGAAACTTCTAGAAAAAAACTGGTTGCAATGTTATTTTCATACACAAAAGAATCATGCCCTCTCCCAACCCCTATCTCCCTACGCACGAATATTACAGCAGGAAAGCTGCCTAATACTCCTTAGAAAGATGTTACAGAAGCAAACACATACTCTTTATTTTAAAAATTACAATTACACCTCTGTTTTTCTTTAACAGATCAGTAGCAATAGGCAATTTGATTTAGAGAAGCTCTTGCTACCTGGCAAAGTAACTTTGATTTAAATTCACGTGTATTTATAGGAACTTCTACTCTATCCCTGTTTGCCTTGTCCTCTCTTTGCAGGGGAGCTGATTCGCATTGGTTTGGTGACCACATCAATAGGCAATTTCATGGGAAGCCCATGACAAAGGTGGTGCACTTTTTGTAACGGAGGATATAATGTGTCTGCAATTACACACACATATATATAAAAATGTGTAAGCACTTATAATACACAGGAATCTGCAAGTATTTTGACTTATAACTACCTGTTACTTCTATCATACTCAAAATGATAAAGTAGGACACCCTGCTTTGGTGGCTGTTGCTTTTCTTTTATGTAGGCTTTTTTAATGTAGTTAGACATAAAATTAGAAATCAGTTTGATATGTAAAACCAGCTTTCCAAAACTGCTAAGAGCATTACTTTAAAGTCGCTAAAAATACTGAAAAAGATTTATTGGGAAACAGTTTCTACTTGATAGTAAAACTTATTGCAGGAAGTACTACAAGCTACTGAATAAGATTCACTGCTGTTCAGCTATCTCTATTTTCGAGCTGACAGGTGTAATCCTCTTATACCATTTCTGTTCACAAGTGAAAAAAAGGTCTTTATCTCCCACTCCATCCCTTAGTTTCCTTCTAGGCTAAGAGGAAGCTGCCACTGAACTGATCTTGGGCAAACGCACGAGGCCAAGAATACACTGCTGCTGCAGAAAGGGCTGCTGCTCCTGGTGACAAGGCCTAAGTCCTCCACAAAATTCCTAGGCAGCAAAAACAGGAAGCTTATTTTTTTAATTCTACTTCGTGGCACCATGTTTGTTATTATCATGCCTCGGTTATTATACTCCTCAATACTGCCTTACAGTCACAGTTGTGTTTTTTAACATACCATATGCAAGTGCTGCATTCTTCTACTTATTATAACTGAACTTACCTTACAAAAACAGTTGTACTTTGCTATAATTAGATTATCATTAAATAAAATGGAAAATAAAACGGAGGCACTATGGGGAATACAGTTATATTTAAGCATACTTAGTACTCCAACACTAAGAGATCAGTGGAACAAGCAAATTGCACAGGGATGCTGAGCTCTTATTCCCACTAATTGAAGACTATGTTTTCAAGAGGAAAACCTCAACATCAGACGTTGCCTTTCCCAGGGATGCATTTTAACCTTGTTGCTAAAAATAGGTAGCAAAGTCAGATTACATGCCATATTCTGAGAGTGCTACATCACCGCTCACTATATTATAAATAGTTACATCAGTAGGGTTTATATTGCTGCCAGCACATAGAAACAAAACATGCTCAAATGAATCAAAGCAGCAACATCTTTAAAAAAAATATATCACAAGCAGAGAGCATCAAGATCAAATTAGATAAAGCAAAAACTGGTATTAAAAGAAAAATGCTGAAACTTATTAGTACAGTACAGAAACTTGTAAGCAATTCACTTACAAGTAAATCAGTTTTGTTTTCACATTCTCAGTACTGTTTTATTTCAAAACAGAAAAGGATATTTAATAGTCTTTAAAAGTAATTTTATTGTGGAAATATTTTATTCCTCTTTTGGCTTTAGCGAAAAAAAAGTCTTGTAAAATAAGTTAGTTTAGTAACCTAAGTTGGTGCTAGTTCTTTAGGCTATTGTGCAATATTTATGGCAGAACATGTAATGCTGCACACAAGCTTTTTGGCAGCACTTTCTAAACCCTGACTAGCCAGCAAACGTTTCAGTATCTAAATTTGAACAGCTCTGATGCTACTTCTCCTCTCTCATTACACTCTGCTTGCCAGGCTCGCTGTCCCCAAAAGGCAGGTAGGCAGCCCCACAGTCACTGCTCGGGCACCCCCTCCGCTCTCCAGCGCTGCACATTTACCTGTGCGTCCTCCTACAGCAGCTGTTTGGCCCCAAAATGAGCACCACGATGAAATGAAGCATTTCCACACAGTGCCTCATGGAGAGAGGCCTGGTGCCCCATAGCAACCCCTGCTCCATTCCCTACGGCAACTGCAGTGTCACTTCCCCAGGGCTCAAGTCACTCTCCCTCCTATCTAAGCACGTTGAATGAAAATGAAGTCACTCCTAATTCCTGGAAACAACAGGTAGAACAAGATTTTAGCAAACGTTTTACCTTAGTAAAGGTAGAATTAAGCTGTGCTCTGTTGGGGCTAAGAGGCCTAAAGAACTTCTCCATTTTGTTAGATAAATTTGTTAGTTAAAATACACAGAAAGAGAAGCAAAATGCTCGATATAGACACTTTTCAAATCCAAGACACCCCTACACCCTGTATCCCAACTTCCTCTCCTCTTTGGATTAAAGACTTCTTGATGACACAGCACAGGAGTGTTTCATAGTCCATGCAGGAGAATCCAATGCATAGGAGGCATCCACCAGATCTTTCTCCGTATGCTGGTAACAGGATCAATTTGGCCCACCAAGAAACTTAAGTGACTAATTGTCAGCAGTGGCCAAGAGGAAGCAAAAAGTCCTTCCTTTTCAGTATGGAAGGGAAGTTTTACATTTCCGCTTCTTTTCAAACCATATCAGTCAAGCCTACTGGTTTTAGCTTCTCCTATCAGCACAGATGAAGGTGCATCAGTAGGATACAGACATCGAGGAGAAAGACCTCTCCCTCTGAAAGATGACAGGACATTGTTTCTTCCTTAACAGGCCAAGCCTACAAGGGCAGAAGCTCTTGGAAATGCAGGAGTTGCTCCCTCCTTTTCTCTCCAGGCAAAGCACTGAGCCAGACTGCACAATAACTACACTGTGCCTTCTCCTGCAAGACCATGTCCTGAATCTGGATACAACCCCACAGTAATTTCCATTTCAAAGGTAGTTCTAAGGGGATTTTAGACACGGGGATGTTCAACTAAATCCAAAGTTAGAAGTTCACGACACTGCTGACCCTGGAACTGTTCAGGCCAGAGTACAGCGATGCCAGTGACAAATACAGGCTCCTAACCATTCTCCTTCAAACACGCTGTTAAGACTTGCATCAGTTTTTTTACTAACAGAATTTTCCATTATAAACATGCCCAATTCACCCACTTCCACTCAAGGACACAGTTTACATGTGTTTATAAAGTACCCAGCTCTCCCCAGAAGTTTCTAATGAACAGCTTGTTCCATTAGAACTACTTAAAATAAAACTTCCTCCAGTGCCTTTTTCTTACCAATATCACTGCTTGCCAGTAGACTGAGAGGGTCCACGTCCTTCATGCATGCCTGAGACTCCAGTGCAGGCTGTTTTTCACCTTCTCGCTCACACGCATGGTTTTCTGGTCCATTAGCTACATTTTGATTTCTTTGTGATGGCACACTATCACCTCCACCATTTCTCTTAAACTTCTTCCAGAACTGGCGTTTTTGCTTTTTCTTCTGTCTTCCTTGCTGCCCATACCTCTCCTCATCTGCTGGAGCTTTCCACATCCCCTTCATTTTGCTGGAGAAAAGCAAAATTTTAAAAAAATGATAACCCACAATCAACTGAAACAACCAAAAGGCTCCAGCCCATGCTCAAGACAATGGTGTAAAGAGCTGCCAGAAGCTACTCCAGCTCGACTACCACATGGTATCGGACCACATGTGCAGTCTTGGAACATCCCATTAACAGGGAAACGGAAAAAGCCAAAACCTAAAAGAGAAGTTTGAAGTTCATAAGTTTTAATCACAAAAAGAGTATGAGGGCTAAGTAGTTTCCTTTATCATCTTCTACGGTGTGCAATTTTACATTATAAAGCCAATATTCCCAGCATTTAAGCCATGAGTGGATACATAACAGGGAGAGCACATGTGAAGTTAAAAGGGAAGCATCTGCTATTAGCGACTTCCATTGCTGAAATCTCTTTCCCGGCTGCAGCTCAATGAAGGATCCTGTTGCATTAAATCCACCCAGGCACCTGACACAGTCAGTTGTGATGATTATCTATCCCTGACTCCAGCTAACACATGCCTTTTCATCTTTGCACTTTGATCGAAAAGGAAGAAGGAAGAAGAAATTTCTATCAAGGAAGTGATTAAATATACATATAAAAAATCCTCCTAAGTTACAGAACTAACATGCTATGCTTTTTCTACTGATGTTTTAGCTTATTCTGTGGACAGAATAAATGTTTAAGGAAGGTACCTGAACAGTCTAACAAAGTGTCCTCCACAATCCATGGCTACCAGAGTAGGGTGTATTGGATTGGTCAGAAAGGCAAATATAAAAGTGGCAACTTCAACTTCCTGAAAATACTTATTTTCAGGCAACAGAAACTCCGTTTAGCAAAACAAGGCTTCAAATGAGCATCAGCACATTTCAGCCATAAAAGACATGCAAAAATCTCACAATCCTCAATGAGCCCCATGGTTGATTTTGCTCAGTATGTTCCATTCAGTCTTGTCTACAGCATGACAAAGACCCTGTAATCCCTAGGCAAGGGCATAATACCCTGCTTAGCTAAGAGCTTCTTCCCAAAACTTCTCCCTGCTTCTAGTCATACATCTGTAAACACAGTCCCAAAGATGTGTTTCTAACCTATGCATTTCTAACCTGGTACCATGCAAGCAGCCAGGAACATACGTAAAGAAATAGGTGAGTAAAGGGCACAAAAATCAGTCGTAATATTTCCAGTTTGTTTTTTCTAGTTTTCAGCTCTCACTGGGAATATCTCTAGCCAGATATGGTCTAAGACACTAACGGTTTTGCACTCCATGATAGAGGATGCTGTAAAAACTTAGAGAATCTCTGAAGGCTTGCAGGAAGGTATTGAGCTCGTGAAAAAGGACTTCCACTGGTTTGTTTTCATTCTGATGCTTGAAATGACCACTTAAACCCAACTTTCTTGGTTTACCAAAAAAAAAAAAGGGGGGGGGGCAAATAATTTTATTACATTTACCTCTTCCCCTTATGCAATTTTCTAGACCTCTGTTGAAGAACCTTTCCAAGGCATCTCTTTGCTTGTACAGAGCCCTTCCAATACTCAAGTTCCGCTTCTACAGCTTTCCAAAGCTGTAGAATCAGCTTTTTCCATCAAATCCTTTTTGTGCGCATGCGAGATTCAAGGTGGTTTTACAGCCATTTAGTAACAAAACATCCTCTGTTTCATTCTCCAGTCTTTTCAGACTAGTTTCTAACTCTGAATACCCAGCTCTTACAGAATCACCTACCATAGTTCTCCTACGGAACAAGATACAAGTCACCATCTTCCCATGCACAGGCCTCATCCACAAAAGCAGATGAGTGTTTTCCTGCACAAATTTACCTCTGTCCAAGACAGAGGACTTCATTAGTGTGAATTTTTAGTGTCTTACACAAAAAAGGGCTCTAAATTCAGCATGTTGCAGCATACCCTATAAAATATTGAGCAAGTACAGGCTCAACAGAATCCTTGACTGACAGATAAAACCAGTATTCTGATTCCCTGTGACCACTGAACACCCAAAAAAACTCCAAGGTCATGCAGATATCCCAACAAATGCCAGCCTGTCTTCTGCCTCCTGCTCCTGGAAGATGTATTCTTCATGTCCTGTCCAAAGGGAGTAAAGAGCTCTGTGCTATTAATCAGCTGTTGCAAGACACCACACAGACTGCCAAAGTGGTCCTCAGAATCTCTAATCTCATATGCAGGGACACCGAGAATTAATAGTTGTAAAGCACTCCGGAGAACCGCAAATGGAAAGTGCTGTAGAAGTGTTAAGTATCTAATCCTTTCTAAATCTTACTGAGCTATTTGCTTTAATAGTACAGCCTGCAGAGAACAAGCTGTATGCTATTTTTGCCTCATGCATCAGTAATTTTGCCAGATAGGCACCAACTCCAAAATCTTTACTGTTGATATACAGAGCACAACCAGTTTTTTGGACAGTTTATCAGATCTGTAGCAGTGGTAGCTGAGTAAAGAGGAGCAAGGGAACAAGAGAAAAAAAGGACACAGACTTCTAAATTCAGAGTTAAAGATCACCAAATGAAAGCAAACAAACAATAAGTCTGAGGTGTTTTTTTCCAAACAATTTTCCAGCTGTCAAGTTACTGAAACATGTAACAGATAAGTAAGGAATTGCTGACTGACACATACTGACTCAATTCGCTAGCAAAACCCCAGGAGTTTAAAAAAAATAATAATAATAATCCCACAATCTGTAGACAAAGAGTTTGTTACCATAACAAGCATAACTCATCTTTGTTTATAAGAATCTCCAGACGCAATCCCATATGTTCAGGGTTTTAAGTTTCAATGCCCTTGGTTTGGTTCCTTGCATATGAAGTTCTTCTGCAACTTTATATCCTTTGGGCAAGGAAAATTTACTTCAGTCTTTTATAAGCCATTCCTAGACCTTCAAAAGTCACAAAAGGCAACCACTGAGAGGAGGTGGGTAGAAGTCTTTAAGGATTTACCATGGTGAAAGGCTTCCCCCTCCTTTCCTAATGCAGGCAAAGCCCAACTTGCCTTCCTTCCACACAACAACAAGTGTGTAACCAGAGCCTCTATCATACCAAGTCTACTCTTGCCTTCCAGCTCAGCTTTTCTACTTAAAGATATATTATTCTGGGGACATGGAAGATTTTACCAAAGTTAAAAGTTGTCTTTTAACAAGTACTCAGATGAAGTTAATAAAGAAGTATTTGAGGGAAGACAGCTGGGATTACACTGAAAAATGATTTGCGATATGAGGGAGAAAAAAATCCCAAGAGGGGTAAATATTAGGTCCAAAAGAAAGGTAGCACATAGATAAAGGTGATGAACGGTAGAGGAAAGAAGTAAGAGAAGCACTAATTCAGTGCTGCAAAATGAAAATAAAGTTACATCTTCCCTCCTCAGCTGATTATTGCTCTCATTAATCATCTGAAAATGAAGTAAAAAGACAAATTCACTCATAAAGTTGCTCTTGGCTCTTTTCAGGCTTTGAGGATTAGACCATGTAGATTCATTATGTTGCATGAATTCCATCTCCTTTACTTCTTAGTCAGAACCCAAGGTTATGGTGTTCTAACAACCGGCCATTACATTGTACTTAAAAAGAAAAGGCATAGTACAGAATTCAGAGAGAATAGCAAGTTTCTAGTATAATTGTTTGACTAAATTGTACTACAAAGCACTGCAAACAAAGGAACATCTGCAATTTGTCTATGACCTGTCCCGTGTTCAAGGACAGTTACATTTAGTGTGTACAGTGAGAGCAGTAAGTGTTCAGAGACCGTAGTGAAGGTGGGTCCTTCTGAAATCAGTGAAAAAGCCTGCCTTGAAATGCTTACCCAAACTGTGGAGTAGTCAGCACCTCTCCCCTTTCTTCCTTCTCCATCTGCATCACCTTCTTCTTTTCAATGTTTGCCACAGTAGGAAAATTTCTAGGGGAAAAAAAAAAAGGCAGCTGCTCTTAGAAGGCTTACTGCACATCTCTTAATTCACCCTCCACCAAACCAACATCCCATATAAACAAAGCTCGATTTAATTTTTAAAGAGCTTCCTGGAAGTGTAACGGGCTCTTTCCTTCTAGGGAAGCCAGCTGAGTTTTTTTAATTACCAGAAGGAGTTTATAAGAACAGCTGCTGCACATACAGGATTCCTTTACTGCAACAGCTACAGAGAAGCACACAAATTTCCTCCTGAGCAATATTCAGTGCTGTGCTTGCACACTGACCTCTATTTCACCAATATTACTGCGTTTTTTTTCTTTCTGGCTTCAAGAAAAAATTGCTAAGTCATGCAGACCGAAACAAATCTACTATTATAATCACCTCAAACCATCCCTCTTCCAGCCTCCACCTTCCTCCCTCCCTCATGGCTCTTCCCTGTGTACAAGCTCCATGCTGGTTGTGACACGCAAGCCTGCTGTAAGTTACTGTCAAAGTCCTAAAATGACTACGCTGGGTGCTCTGTAAACATTAATTAACTAAATCCTAGGGCTTTGAGATAAAAGTGGGGCATGGGAAACACACATATACCCTAAAAAACTTTTTCTGGACAGTACGAGGGGGGTTAAATATTTTATGCCCAGTAAAACGAAGCAACAAGAAACACAAAACAGCTAGACACTACATACACATATCAAAAAGGACACTGATCTATCTTTAAATGTTTAATCTTATCACATGCATCCTCCCCATTTTACAGGATTGCTAAGTTGATACATGACAGCTTCAGCCGCACAGCAGGAGAAAGATGAGAGGCGTTTTCTAAGAGACACTCCTAAATACATTACAGAACTTATCTTCTTTAAGAGGACTCAAATATGAGCTGTCAAAAATCTATTTTGATTGGATTTCTCCCAGAAACCCAGACATAGAGCTTTCAAGAGAGAATAGGGATATGATGTTTTATCTCAGCACTTCCCCATTAGCTGCATTTCTTCATCCGTGTTACAGCACTGCCAGCCAACAGCGAGCCCGAACTGAATTATGTAATCTCAAGAGCGTCTCATTCACAAAGACCCCTGTGCTTGGCAGCTCTCCATTGCTTTAGGACGAGTGTTTTCCTTCACATAAGTAATGTCCACTGGAGAACCATAACTATTTATTTATGGCTCTGTCAAAACAACTCCAAGCTTGTTTTAACCACTCTTTTTTCCTTCTTTGGAGGACAAAGGAAGACCCTTAATCCTGGAGCAAACGAGCCTTCAAAGTGCTCCCGTAGTTGTGCTGATTAAGGACATATTCAGACACGCTCTCACCACATGGCTGAGGAAGGGGGGCCTCCCCCTTCATTCCTGCAAGTTACTGCTTCCTCCACGAAGTCCCAGCAATGGGATTCAGCAGGCTGCATGTAGCAGCACCTGTGTGAAGTGCATACATTTTCTCCAAGTCTCCTTAACAAGAGTGTTAAGCAGTATTTTGCTCACTTCTACCTCATGCAGAGAACATACCTATTTGGAAAACAGAGCATTTTACTTGGTTCACAACAATTAAGTGGCTGCTGTTTTACTTTTCGGTCTCGGGATTTTGCTAGCAGCAAGATCTAGACTTTCAAGTCTTCAGGTCTCTGCACAAGGTAGACAAGGTCCCACTTACCCATGTGCTCTCTGCTGTGTGATGAGGCTGCGACAGACAAACCAGCAGCTCTCACTGGGAGAAAGTCAGCCCCAGCAGCCCCTTCTGGGAACAAGAAGCAAAACCAGGGGCCAGGGTTGCCCACCCATCTCAGCGTCCCAATACCAGGGCAACTGGGCATCTCATCACACACCATAACCAAATCAAAGTGGACTTGTGGAAGAGTTGCATTTGGTTTTAAGAAACATGGACTGGTTGGCAAATTCATGGCAATATTAAAAAAAAAAAAAGAAGGAAAGAAAAATCAATTCAGCCTTCTGCATCATCTTCTGCTGCAGTAAGTTCCACTGCTTGGACTCCTCTGCAAGAGAGGGTCTGTACAAAACAAACATGGGTTATCTATTGGTTTTTGACTGGTGCATAGTTACTGAATGCAGAGTGGCTCTGTATTTCTGTATAGATGTGCAAATCATGCAGTCACAAAACCTGCTGACAAAACTTCCTGCATCAGCCAGAGTTCCCCATAGAGGCAGCAAAATTGGACTGATCTTAAATGGAGGCAGAAGCCAACAGCGCAAACGTTATGGTCTTTACCTAACTTTGTGGCAGACACATACTCTGTAAGCTTTAGTTTCTGAGAAGAGTCACAAAGCATTCAAGAGGGGCCAAAACGAGGGAAAGTTTTGGGTATAGAGAACTCTCATTCAGGAAGATCAAATTTAGGAAGATTGCTCCTGAACACAACAATCCAGTACAACAATCCAGAACGAAGAGGCTGTACTTCATCTCTCTAGCTAAAGAAACATACATTAAAACTGATGAGTTGACTTGGTTTTACACCCTGCTCAGCAGGTACACCCTCTTTGCCCAATAAAATAAGGTTCTTAACATGTCAGATAGACTTTTTTTTCCTCTATTTCACTTGTGCCTCTATCATCTACACCCTCTAAACAACCTGTCAGAGCTTGAAGACAAGCAACCTCATCAGCCACCACAAAGACTTTACAATCTTAACTCCCTTTTCATTGAGAATTCACTTAAATCAGGACATGATGAACAGGGATAGCGGATTTCATGAAGGATCCAGTACTGCCCAAAAAGAAGGCATCCCTGGGTTATAACTGTGACATTTTCCCTCACTGTAATCCAAGTTAGAAGACTTACAGTATAAATTGTCATGATAACATCAAAAACTGGAGTTCAGGTTTAGGCAAGTACATTACATAAGCCAGGCAGACACATGCAGATAAAATGATAAGCAGGTAAAAACCTCTAAACTCTCAGACACAGAAAATAGAGATGTTGAGCAAAACCACTTATTTGCATACTTTAGTGAAGAGACATTTTGCATCGAATGAGCTTACTAGCCAAAGTCATATATGTTTTATAGTCCAGGAGCACGAAGCATGAAGTGGACATCCTGTGCCACATGCCCTAGGTATCCCTGCTTGAGCAGGAGGGTTGGACTAGATCTCTAGAGGTTCCTTCCAACCTCAGCCATCCTGGGATTCTGTGACATAGATGACCCAGAAAGCTGATAAATGCTTTTGTGAGTCTTGGGACTCTTATTGCTGATTAACACCAGCAAATCATAGTAAATGTAGCTACTTCATCCTTTTCTACCTTGATCTACCAAGGTTTTATCTTCTCTACTTTTAATAGGTGTTAAGAAATTATTTTTCTTTATCACAGTTTATTACTATGAAAAAATCTCCAGGAAGGCAGCCAAACTACTGTAGGGATACTCTTATTCACTACAGGACCATAAAGTAGCAAAAAGTATGTCTCTTGATAGCATTGTCCTTTACTGAATATTCACTTAATGAATATTCAGTACATCAAATACTCCAAAAGCAATGTAGCAGACAGTCCTTAATTGGACCAGAAAACAATATATTTAGAAAAAGATAGGGGGAAATGAGCAGCATGTAAGATAAAGAAAATCCTCTTATGTATATCAAGACGCAGCCAAAACTAGGCTCAAAGATTGGGTTTAATGCAAGAACAGCCTTGCTGCATTCTTTCTAATAACCTCTGCTCAAGAACAGTTGGCATACATGGGGGCTAGCAGGATCCAGATTTCATTTGGAAATAATGAAAGATAGCAAATAATATTCTGACATGCTACACAAATGCATCAGTATATCTACTGTAAGTAACTCCCTTTGAGACGATTATTAAAAAAAAAGTGAGAACACATAAAACAATTTTAGTGATTAAAGTTGATGTCAGATTTCACAACCATCTGCCTGCAAAACATAGGGAAGCCCTAAGGTTTTGTAGGACTTCACTTTTACCACTCTCTGCTTAACTCTAGATTGTTCGGCTTTGTAGATTTAGTAGGTCGCAAACTATTAAAAAGTCTTTTAGATAAACAGAGACACAAAGGCTGCAGTGGTGAACGGGACATTGTGTGGAGTCTGAAAGAGAGCAAAACAGAGCCTGAACACCTTAAACTAAGACACTTGTTACCTGTTCTCCCCTTTCACTTCCCTTACCTTCTACAAAAAAGAAATGCTGTACTTTAAACACAGATTCTTTCTAATAGATTTTAGCAAGACACATAGCTGAGCAACACAGCAACTAATTAAAAAGCAAATCTCAACCCTCTAATTATTTGTACTGGCTGAAGGAACAAGGCAGAAACGGTAAGGGTGCAGCATGGAAATAAACACATTAAATCATGCGACCTGTTTAGAAACATATCACTGATGACCTAAAAAGATTCATTCTTAGCTCTGACTGGACCTTCTAGAAAGAAAAAGGCTTTTCCTGCAACTATAAGCCCACACTGCCTAATAATTCAGACTCCCTCTGGTGTTCTTTTTTTCTTTACAATATTATGTTTACTGTGAGTCAGCAGCAGACCTTCAACACTCAACAGTTTCTTTGCTGGAGACCCAATTTTTGCTTCACAAAAGTTTCAGAGGTTTTTTGTTTGGTTGGTTAGTTTTTGCTGCTTTGCTCTCCTCACCTTTGACTTTATTTTTTTAAGAGATTGTTAGTATAACTTCTTGAAATGTAGACGGTAACAAAAACCACTCAAATAGTCACAGGGTCCCCCTCAGTTACAGCTAAACAAGATGCTGAGAGAGCAACTGAATTACTAGATTAACCCACAGCACTGCTCCATCTAGTGGGCCTGGCTTAGAAGATCCTAATTCCATATTGCGTCTTTTATTTGTGGTATTAGTGACTACAAGATTTAATTTCCACCAACTTCACCATGTTACAGGAAGCAAAGGTTTTCAACAGAGCTGTACCCCTCGCAAGTTACATTGATCTGCAGAAGTGATATCCAGCAAAAGATGTTCCAAAAGCTAAAGGAAAAGACAGCATCATCCTTACAATTAACTGTAGAAACATTTTGCTTTGATTCAGCACACCCTGAGCAAAAAGTACCCTAAACATGCCTGCATATTCATTCATGTTTCCTTAATGCTCTAGCATGCAGTATACAATATTTACATACACAGCCCTATGTATTATTCAACATTTAAACCTTAACGCCAGCCACTAGACAGGGACGATTCCATCAATATCTCAAAACAGAAACTTCTGTATACAAAAGTGAGAGAAAATTGTAAGACATCGCCTGCAACTACTTCATATAATTGTCTTTACAGGACAGATACGTAAGAATATGTTTTTACTAACAAATGATAAGGAGGGAAGAAAGTGGTTTTGTATGAAAAAATTATCTCTGCACAAGAAATCAAACTTCTCTTTTGGAGGTGGCTTCACTGACAGTTATTTACTATTCCCCACTACAAGGGTAAACATTTGGCTTCTAAATATAGCAGAAAACAACTGGAGGTAACAAAAAGTTCTCTCTGTCCCTTCTTATCCCCTACTCCATTTACAAAGTTACTACATAATGATTTTCCAAGGGAAGTCAAGTTCAAAGTGAGAATGCATTAGCATTGCTTTCCAACATAAATCCACACCAGGCTTATCTGCAAGACTTCACTGAAGGTAATTGGTTTTACATTTAATAAGAAAAAAGAGAACAGCGTAATCTGGAAGTTTCAAGATGTAAAGTGATCTTGCAGTTTTAGTTTATGTCACTTTTCACTGCAAAAATGCCTCTTGCTCTTAGGGACAAAAGCCTTGGACTGACCACTCACAGGATGACAGTCCCAGTCACAAGCAGAAATGGGGAAAAATCTTTCATTTGCTGAAAAAAGCAGAAGTTTCAGCCTGTTTAACTTTGGAAATGTCAGTGGGATTAGACCTGAGGAGGAACAGCGCAACTTTTTAGGTATGCCAGTGCTGGCAAGCAGGTGTAAGCTAAACATCACCTCAACATGATGAATGAGAAGTACCACCTACTCTACCTCATGAACTTTACCTCATGCGTCAGATACAACGTGAGCTTTGACCATTTGACAAATAGTCCCTCAGATTTTGTTTTCATCCAGAACATGAAGTTCTTAACTTGAAGAGACTTCTCTGTGGCCTCTTAATAACTTAAACCACGGCAATTTGCACACGGTGGGAAGAATTACAGTTATGGTCAGTACAACCTTTTCAGGTATTTCTAGCTTTTTTACTTCCAACCTAAAGCATCTCAGTGCTCAGGCTATAAGGAGGACTAAATCACCGGGCCTGCGGTACCCAAATCAAACCTTTCCCCTCCCACTATAAACACCCAGATAATCTCTATGCACTTAACATACCCATCACTTGGCATTAACTAAGTACATGCTGCTGCCTTTCAAGCACCACACAGTTGTCACACATGGAAAATAGAGTAGAGCAAATTCACAGGCTGCAAGTCCTACTTACTTTTTTCTCTCTTCTCTCCATCTAGCAATCTCTTCCGGAGTATCTAACTTTATTTTTTTAGCACCAGGACCATGCACCTAAGGAAGAGGCATTTCACCCACATTAAAATAAACAAATAAAATAAGTCACCTCCTACATTAACAGAACATTGTTTGCATGCTCAGTACTGCTAAGATTGGGCATTGCCATTAGAAAGTGAACCTATAAAAATACAGCTGTCATTGGATTATCATTTACAAGGTTTTCTTGCACAGGTTTTCAGCTCTTAGAGTGACACAGTACTTCTTCACTACAGAAGAATAAAGGAGAATTTTAAAAGTATAAGAGACTAAACTAAAGATTGCCAAGGCTCACATCTTGGTTTCAGCAGGGATACCTACATTCTTCCAATGTATCTGAACTAGCTTCTCATGTGCGTTGAAATTGCAACCTTCTTCTGTGCACTGTTAAGATAAAGGTAAGAAGATTAAGTTAACATTTTTTCTACTAATTATTCAAACTAAAGTAATATTCAAGTACGCTGCAAGTACATTAATCAGTAACAGATTATTACATGCAGTTTTCGAATACATAGTTTCAAAACATACAAAGAGTAAAGTACAGTAACATACTTTTAAATTCATGCTTCCGTTTAACAAGAAATTAACTTTAAAAAAAGAAAGTCTGCTAGGATCTGCAGTTTCAAACTGTTATTTGTCTGCAATAAAGGAGCAGACTCTTAAGATATTTTTTCCACATAAAGCATCTTGGCAAAAAAAAAATACATCCTATAGACAATGTATTAACCCACAGTACTCCTATGACTTAGCAACACTTTGCAAAGAAAAACTTGAAAATAACTTTAGCAATAAATCTCAAAATATTACTAAGAGCTCTCCTACACAGAGCATTTAGAAAACATATTACCATTTTCTGTAGTTCATGAATTTATTTTACAGGTCTCTTATTCAACAAGTTACTAAAGCTAAATACATATCAGGCATGAAATTAAAAATCAAAGTGTAAATAAACATAAATTAACCTGCATATGTTGTGAAACATGTTCATCATATTTATCCTGATTTTTATAGCCACGGTCACAGGTATCACAATAATGAGAGAAGACTGGCTCTTTTCTCTTTTTGTTTTGCTAAAGAAAGGAAGAGAAAAAAATAAGACATATTCATACTATCAACAGAGTAGTTACAAAGTAACAAGGCACTCTTATCCTTAACTGCAAAAAATCTGCATGAATATTTTGATACTAACTTCATGAATCAAGATGCACTTTGAAGATTTTAAACATCAGCTAAAGCGCCACAAAGGTAAAGCTGAAACCACTCAGATTCCAGGCAAGTCACATAGCACTAGATTCTTCCCGCTACCGGGTTCTTCCCTGTTACTGCTGCTACCCAAACCTAGGGGCCAACTGGGCGGCCCCATCCTGAGCCTCTTCCCTGCCCAGCGCTGCCTGTTGCCACAGGACACGGGTGCCCAGCAGCTGCACAGAGGTGATCTGTCTGTGAAGCCACTTGGACATTTGGGCTCTCTACAACTACCTGAAAGGAACTGTAGGGAGGTGGGGGGCTGGTGTTTTCTCCGGAATAACTATGGATAGGAAAAGAGGAAATGGCCTCAAGTGGTGCCAGGGGAGGTTCAGGTTGGATACCGGGAAACATTTCGACATGGAAAGAGGTTAAGCACTGGAACAGGCTGCGCAGGGAAGCCGTGGAGTCACCGTGCCTGTCAATGTTCAAGGATCGTGCAGATGAGGCACTCAGGGACATGGTTTAGCAGACATGGTGGTGAGCGGCTTACGGTGGCACTCGATGATCTTGAATCTCTTTTCCAACCACAGCGACTCCAAGCGTTACCACGAGACCCGGCTGGACCCGGCTGCTCGGACACGCGGC